TTCAGATATTAAGACCCTCATTGTGATAAGTACCTTCGAGTTTGTGCATTGGGTTTATGACGTGGCAAACTCAACACCTGTGATTTTCATCCGGAGTATGTCCTCAAGGATGCACTACTGCTCTAGCCTAAGCTGCTTCCTCTGAGGATTTAAGGATAATGACACCCATCCCTATGGAGAAATGGAGGGGGGTATATTTGCCCAACCTTTCATCCAGTTTCCCTTTGGATCCAATACAATTGCCTCTGGGAAGTTTAAATTCTCCTTAGATGTCAGAGACGTTTTACTTTTTGGGCTTTTCGTGCAAGTTTGTGCCATTACGGTATATGCAATATACAAAGCTAGGGCCAAGAATTATCGAGAACGTGTTCAGAAGCCTGCCCCAGGGGTGGGAAACCTCGAGTGACATGGGTTATGGGAGGATATGGGTAAATTCCTAGAAAGTTGTTTGGCTCCTACAACATGGAAGCTCACCCTCGAACAACTCCTAAACCCTACAAAAATAATGAAAGCCGTGAGGGAGAAAGGTCGTGATAGACCCATGGAGAGGCAGCTGACAACTGCATGTGGGGCTTTGGCCATTGCCTACTGGAAGTTGCTCGGTATGGTGTAGCACTTCCAGGGAAAAGAGAAAGACGAAAACGAGATGCCTGATACCACGGTGACTCAGGATAGGACCAAATCAAAGGGACAGACCAAGCCAATGGAGGTTACCCCTACCCAAAAGAGGAAATATAAGACCAAATCGGTTCGTCCAGTTGATGATGATGGGGAGGCAGCACCCTCACAGGTAGCTGGTCCAGAGCCAGAAATCATCACTGAGTCCTTATCGTATAACAACCTCCGGAGTTTACGGGCAGACGTTATTCATCACCTGAATGAGCCCATTCTGACCTGGATGATTCGAGTTTGGGACTCTACGGGTGATGCCATAAACCTTGATGGCGATGAAGCAAGGTTCTTGAGGTCTATTGCCCAGGATGTGGGTATCGAGGAGGCGTTCCTGAGAGAATCAAAGCCCCTGTCTCTCTGGTCATGGCTTTTGGATGGTGTGAGGGAGAGGTTCATTTACAGAGATTCCTTGCAGGCAGACCATTACGCAAAGGGTTGGAAGACCATAGAGGAGGGGATTCTACGCCTGAGGGCAATGGCACTGTTGGAGGTACTGTTTGGAAGGGATGGGCAACCCACCAACGATCCTGACAGGGTTAAGTGTACACCACAGATGTGGTGGAGCCTCACATGTATGGGGCTGTCCACATACGCCAGTTACCTGACATCATTGCAGGTTGGGGAGAAGCGAGAGCCGGTGATGTCCATAATAAATAAACTTTGGTTGTATGACAGTATGATCGAAGGACCACTACAGGCCCGCATCTCCACTGTAGAGACATTGATTAAGGACCTGAAGACACTAACTACAGAGGTGAAAGATAAACAGGAGAGACTGAAAGAGAGGATTGAGGGAAAAAGTTTCCATATGGTCCAATGAGAACCAGATGCCCCCCAGCTAGAAAGAATGGACAGACCTCATGAACGAAGTTGTGGTATTTCCTAGTTGACCATGGAGAAGACATGAGACAGTGGGACAGGAAACCTACCTGTGTCCTAGCAGCCTGACTATAAGAGTTGAAAGAGAGAGGAAAAGGGAAGTCTGTGAAAGTGAGTGCAGTACCGGTATCCTGTGGGCAGGGATCTGACCCACTAGGAGGTACCTCCCGTCGGTATTCACAGGAAATAAACTGTGATTGGCAGAACGAAGGTCGGTGTTAGAGGGACCCTGCTGTGGGTGAACGGCAGGATTACAAGAACTGGAAAGAACAACTTTAGAAACAGGCCCATTACAGCGGCAGCTCCCTGGGACTGAGCAAAGCAGAAAAAACAACTACTTGCGTTTTTACTGTACCAGTTTTTCCCTGAGTTATGTACTTTCCCCAGTCCATGCAGCCCCCCCCACTCAGAACCATGCAGTCTCCCCCTCCCCCCGATCGTGGATCTTGTTGCGCCCGCCTCTCCCCAAATCCCTGTCTCGGTTACTGGAACACGATCCTCCTGTATCTCCCATTGGTCAGTGGGCTCTCAAGCCATTCCCCTCCCCCTGTACCTCGACCCAGTCACAGGTCTCCTTCCTGCCCTCCCCCCGAACCCATATAAACCGTGCAAGTTTAAGATTAAAGTTCTTTCTGCCACGGAACACACCGGGGAAGTTTGGTCTTTCTCTCCCCCTGCCAAAGGGGGACAGCGCTGCCAAGCTCCACTCCAGGAAAACCAGCAGAGAGTTCGCACACAGATCCGTTAACTGGAGTCCCAATGTCGGATTGAGACCTACGTGGAATCTTCTACTGTGTAGAGGATTTTTGGGGATCTCCGGGCTCAAGCGATGAAGCAGTGATGGCTTCCCACTCAAACGGTATCCTGCAACTCAGCGTGGGATTCGGGCTATCGCTTAGGTAGGTCTGCAGTTGCATAGTCTCTGGGACTCTATTTTATTGCACTCATGGGGGCACAATCTTCAAAGCGGGAGCGGGACATCTACAAACGCTTAATAGGTCTTATTTATTTGCATGGACACCCGTTAGACAAAGACTCCCTAAAAGCATTGATTAAATGGATTTTGAAACACAACCGCCCCCTGCGCACCCCCATATCATATCAGGAATGGGACTCATTAGGACGTGAATTATGGAACGCCATACAGGCAAATGACTCTTTAGCATCTCGGGCAGCAATCGCTTGGAGGTTAATATTAAGCATGCTAAAGAAAAATGAGATTGTACAATCCATGATTTGGGAGGAGGGATCGGGACGGCACCCAGATCGCGGTGCGACTGAAGCGGCGGGAACGGGTTCCGAATAGGAGAATATTTCCTCTGTATTTCCACCCTGCACACATCATGGGGAGTTTAGCTCGGCCCCCCTGACATGAAAGGGTAACGGTCACAT